CTGTAACAGAGACTAGCAGAATTCTAGATCGAGGATGGCCCTTCTTAGGGGAAGTTAAAACTGAGCTAGAGAGAATGAAAAGAAACCAATCATTAGAAACACAGAGGAACAGTGCTCTAAACCAGGGATTTTTGATGTTGGCACCGCTGATACTGGGGTTGCACAATTTCTTGGTGTGAGGAGGCTATCATCTCCATTGTAGGATGTTTAGCATCATCCTTGCTCCGAACTATAACAGCCAAAATCTGTTTCCAGCCACATCCTACAGGAGATAAACTTACTTCCCCTTAGTACTACTCTTCTAAACATAGGAAATAAATCATCACAGTACTGAATAGGATGCTGCTGCTGAGGTAGGGTAATGGTTGATACATTGCATCAATTTGAGAAGTTTAGAAGCATAACTAAGTGACTTAGCAGGGACTCAGGGTTCTCACTTTGTAAACATCCTCAGCCTGTGCAAAAGAAGGGCATGGAGACGCATGGGTGTAAAGGGCCACTTTTGGGCAGGTAGCCTGTATACAATATAAGGGAGGAAAAGAGGCTTGCTTTGTCCCTTTGGCTTATGTTGCTTCTGCTGTCTTCTGCCACCTTGAACTGTTGCACCTGTGTCATGCCACCCTGCCTTGGATCTGACTGAAACCTCCACAAACTGTGAGCTAAATAAACTTTTCCTTCCTTAATTTTTGGTGTTGGGTATTTTGTCTCAGTAGCAAGAGAAAAATAACTAAGACAGGTAGTGAGAAGAGATCACTCAAGTGTCTGTAGACCCTGACAAAAATTTTGGATTTTATCTTGTATAAATGGTAAGTCACTGAGCAATTTTAAGTTGGGGAGAGACGTGTTTACACTTTAATAGACAGCTTTCAGGAAGGTATGGTGGTGAATACCTATAATCTCAGCTACTTCAGAAGGTAGGCAGGAGGATAGCAGATATGAGATAAGCTTCAGTGATTTAGCAGGACACTGTCTCAAAGATTCACCTTGAGGGTGAATGAGGTCTCAGGATCATACACTAAGACACATCATCATGTAGGACTGAAAAGGATGAAAGAAATGCAGACTGAGAAGGAGCAGGCAACACAGGAGGAACAGCCAATGAGAGGATGATGTCACAATAATTGAGGACTACTTCAAGAAGGAAGTGATTGATCCTGACTAGATTTTTGTAGTAGCTCATCTCTGAGTCACAGGCTGATTTCTCTTCTTGCCTCACTATAATTTCCTCTATAATCCTTGATATCTTACTCTAAACTAATCATGCTGTTCAAGACCACCACAAAACTTCCCATTTCAGCACTGCACTGGCCTTGTTCATTTCTGTCTCTAGGACTTTTCTCTTTTAATAGTTACATTTCCTTCTCAGTGCCTTCAACTACATCTGCTATGAATCTTTGAAGTCGAAGCTCAAATGTGATCTTCCACAGACCCCTCTCCAACAATTTTGGCCCACACAGATGTTTCTATTCTTAAAAAAAAAAAAACAGTAAAATTGCCAAATGTTTCATTCCATCCAGTAGATATGTATTTTTTAAAACCTTGGTGTCAGGCACTGGGCTATGCCCTAGAACAATAAAAAGTACTATGGTAGCTGCTTTCTATAGTTTAGTAAGGAATTAGTCTGTTCAATCCTCCTCAATAATACATTCAGGAAGAAAGGACTTTGTTCAGTATCTAATCCTGAGTCAGTCTTTTGACTATTATCTCTCTGTGTTCCTATTTTAGTCTGCCCCACCCAGTTCAGTCATGGTTTGCCACGCCTTTGGCAGCTGATTAGTTCATGAAAGTATTGGCTCATAGCTCCTCAGGACCAAATGTTGCTACTCCTACCAGTCATCAGTGTTAGGGTGAATTTAGCCACAGGATACACATTTCCCAAAGTCCGAGTTGAAAACAATCCAAAATAACACTCAGAGGACATACACGTGCTACTCGTGTGTATGTTGGGACGTTCTTTGGTAGTCTAAGCCAATTCCCTTTTAGGATCTCTTTGCCAGTATGAACTCCCTCACCTCCTTAAACCTATTTGCTTCAGATGCAGCCTTTTTGATCCTTAAACTGGGGCCAATTACAATGCTATCATTTAAAGGTCAGTGCTTAGGTATACTCAGATCTAGTAGAAACTTTGAAATTATGATTTAAAAAGTATACAGTCAAGATTTAATCAAATTTTTGAGCAGGTTACAACAGAGTGTGTTTTTCTGTAATCTCTAAATGAGGAAGGGAGCTAGTCAGAGTCTTTATTATCCACAGTTTATATTATTCCTCAAGGGTGAAAATGGCAGTTGCTCTGCCAGTTACAGAGAGAAATTAGTATGAAATAATTTTTATAATAGAAGTAAGTCCCCAAAAGCTGAAGGAAGGACTAAGCTGAAGTTATAAAATGATCCACAGAGGAGGTACATACTCACTTGATACCTGATGGATCTTGAGTATAACTACTAACACAGAAAAGCAAGTTTAGAATGGCTGGTGTGGAGTAAATGGGGAATAATGGGGTGAAGGGATTAATCATCTCCACCCAAATCATGAAGGGCCCTCCAGGTGACAAGGAATTTCTGAAAAAGTTGTTCAGGATCACATTTTCACATTAAAGAAATTATTAAATAGAATGGAGGTTGGACTGAAATGGGAAATAACTGGAGCACACGTAGACGTTACAATAATCCAAGGGAGATGAGTCAGAACAGATGAGGACCCGAAGAACTGAAACAGTAAAAGTGGAGATTAAACAGAGGGGTGGATTGAGAAATATGCAGGGAAACTAGTCAATAAAACTTGATATTAGAATAGAGGAGATGAAGGAAAAGTAACAGATACCCTTGGATTTCTGAGTCTGGGCTAGTGAGGGGCACTATTTAAAATAGGAAATGGAAATGGCCTAGGTAGAAGGTGGGGTGGGGCGAGAAATGGCATCAGGAATAAATTTTGGCAAAGAAGCCTGGGATAGAAGATTTAATGCATCTGTACGAAATCTAAACACAGATATTGCATTAAGGGTCTGATCTGAAGATATATATCTGGGAGTCCTTGTGCACAGGATGCCTCATGGGCTAAATCTTCAATGGGAAAGAGGCTGCTCAAGATGTACTGAATTACATTGAAAACAAAAGAAAACAAAGTGGTGGGAAATAGAGGGCACAAACAGAAAAAACAAAGTGCATCACAGAGGTGGTTGTAAAACCAGGAGAAAACAAGAGGAAGAGTTAGTGATGTTCCCATTATTTAAAGAAATGTAGGGTTTTCCCCTCTCCCTTCCATAGGTTTCTTTCTTTCTTTCTTTTTGATCTTATGGACAGGAGCTATAGTTTCATTTCTTTTTTTCTTTCTTTTCTTTTTTTTTTTTTTTTTTGTACTGGGAATTGAATTCATGACCTTACGCTTGCCAGGCAGGCGCTGTGCTACAGAGCTATATCCCCAGCCCCTTCATTTTCTTCAGTATCTAATTCAACATAGGAAAGGTAGTAAATTCTGACTCAGTCCAAGCACATCTACGTACTTGAATTTGCTTCCAAGCAACTTGCGTTTTTTTCACTCTATTTTTTCAGATACTTTTAGCGTTCCTATGAGCTTATCTAAATCCATATCTGTGATCAGTTATCTTCTATGTGCACCAGTTTTGTAACGAGTTCCCACACTTTAATTTTGAAAGACTTTGCTAACCCAAATGTCCATCCACTGAGGATTGGATAAAAAAATTGTGGTACTTTTATATAATGGAGTATTACTCAGCTATAAAGAAAGATAAACTTGAGGCTTTTACAGGTAAATGGTCACAACTAGAGACCATACTCCGAAGTGAAATAAATCAGACCTGCATGTGTGAGAATCGTATTGTCTCACTAGTGTAGGAACTTGAAAGACTGAATAAAAACTAGAAGCTATGATGGACATTGTGAAATGAAAGGAAAATGCTCAAGGGTAAAGGGTAACTGGTATGTGGGAAAAGAAAAGGGAAAGAAGGGGAAATTATGTATGTATGTATATACAGGATAGCGAACATAGTTGTACTACTGACTTCTATTGCTCTACTGAAAGGAACAGTTAATTACTTGTTTGATCATTCTTGCATGTCTCTGTTTTCTTGAGAAACCACTTTGAAGATATCAATAAGTAATACAACAACCATGGTTAATTTCCTACAACTTTGTCTGTAATTCAGTATTGCTTGTATTGTTCTTACGCTATTTTGTAAATGGATGTCTGTTTGTTAATATGTTTTCCTTCTTTTATTTCTTAAAATAAAAAAAGACCTTGCTAGCAATGCCAGCGACAAGTTTCCTTTATCACAATTCCTAAGATACTTTTTTCAAATTATTTTTAAAACAAAGCTTAGCTCAAGTCTCAGCAGCTGCTTGTAATTTAAAACGCGGTGGAAAGCACGGACAAGAGGCAGCCGCGTTTTTCTGACAATTAACCGCGCACCGGATCAGTGTGCTTAAAGCTTCATTTCATTACAGGTCAGGAAGGCCCGGGCGGGGTCGATGCAGCACAGCTCGGAGCCGCACGGTCGCCACTCGGGAAGCTCGGGCGCTGTGGGCGGGAGGGGCCTGGTGACACCCGGGACCGTTTTTTCTCAAGCGACAGCACCTAACCTACACTTACTCCTCGGTGGATCCGCATTCCCGAGCTTAGAAAGTGCCGCAGACGGCCGACAGCACCGCAACAATCACGTCCAGTTGGGAACTACCCCTAATTCGAGTCACAGCTCAGGGCAGTCTCAAGCAGCCCCGGGACCGCAGACTGAGCTCCCGCTAGGCGCCGGGTTGACTGACAGGGAGATGCTAGCTCCTGCTCTCGCGGGATCTGGCGCCTCACGAACCCCCGCGGGAATAGACATCTGCAGGTCCGAAAAGCCGGAATTCGCGTGCGGGGGCGGGGCCAGCGCGGTGAGAGCGGGGGCGGAGCCATCTAGAGGGCGGGGCGCATAGGGGGCGGGGCTCCCTGGACCTGTTGATCGCAGGTGTCAGTGGCCCGACCGGCCCCTCCGAGCTGGGCGTGTGCGCATGCTCGGGGCGCGGGGTCGGACTCTGGGCGCGCAGCTCTTCCGCGGTCGCTCCAGTTCCCGGTGAGCCTCGGCGTGGCGGCGGTGGTGGTGTGTCAGTCCGGTGGAGGCGTGAGGCGGAGCCGGCCCAGCGCGAGGCAGCTCTGTGGGAGTGGAAGGCCCGCATTTCCCTACCTGGATCGCACGCTCTCGGCGCTGGCAGAGGAGAGCTCACGGTAGGTCCCCGAAACTAGGATCGGGACGGAGATCCGAGGACCCGCGACCCTCCCGGGCCCGACCGGGCGCTCTCCGCCCAGCCTCGGCTCCCTCCGGAGGCTCCGCGCTGCGGCGCCCGGCTCCCGGGTCCGGCCCTGCGCGCTGGTCTGCCCGGGACTGACGGGACGGGACGGACTCCCGCGGGGGACGCAGAGCCCGGGGTCGCGGGGGTGCGCGGGGTTGGGGCGGCGAGCGGCGGAACCCGCGGTCCAGCTGCGCCGCCAGGCACCGGCTTGCCGGTCGGGCCAGCCGCACCGCCGCCCCCGAGCACAGCTCCTGGAAGGACCCGGGACGGTTCTGTTCTCTCCTTGGAGAGGGGCGTGGACTGGCTTCGTGAGAATTTGAGAGTGGGTCGTTTTCCAGGGGTGGTAGAGGTGCAAAGTTAATATTTAGCTTCTAACCCGGGGCTTGCGGGGCATTTACTAACTGCTTCTCCACCGCCTCGGCGAACAGGAAGTGCTTGCACAGGTGTGACTGGGAGCGTTTCTCAGCCTGCAATCTGAGCCGGTGCTGAGGTTTTGTTATCCCGCTACAAGGTTTTCTTTCTTTATCAATACGGAGTCTGATTAAGGCTCGCGAAATGTACCGCAAGGCTTCATCTGTTAGGCAACAAAGTTTTCCAAATGTTTTCTTACTCAAGGCCACGTTGGGGGTATGTTTAACTGTACATTTGGGAAGTTCTTCGTAACTAAGATCTTACTCGCTTTTAGTTCGTTTTTAAAAGAAAAGGCTATGTAATTTTCAGTACTGAAAAGGAGTAGCAAGTCCTAACATAAGATTCTGATACAAATGAACTTTGGATTAAATTGATACTTACTCGTTACTTTTATTTTTGTTCTGTGTTCCATGATAATGGTCTAGGAGGCAAAGATCCTTCATCTTCCTGAAGAGAAATTTTAAAAGAACAAAGTGAACAAAACTTATTCTATAAAAGTAATGTATGATCCGTTGTTATCATAAGAATTCCAAATAGACAGATGTACTGTAGAAAGGAATTATAGTCTGAAACACAAGGTTTTTGTTTTATATTATAGAGGGTTTTGCAGTGAGCTCCTTTGGACAATTTGTGTAGGTTTGTGATTGCTGGTTATAAACTGTGAAAGTGATTTCTTTAAAGTTGTTTATAAGTGAGACGAACCGGTAGTTGTGTGGTTTTTTTCTACAGTGTAAAAAAAAGACCTAGAACATGCCTTTCTCTTCTCCTATAAATTTTTAAATATTTGTAAAATTGTAGTTTGTATACAACACATGGAACTTGACACAGTGATCACTTCATTACTATTATTTTTTCTAAACTATCCAAAGTTACTTTTTAAAAAGATAGCTTTTCTTGGGTATGATACACTTTTCTACCTGGTTTATTCTTTTACTTAAGAAAAGTCACAGTATTTTCCTGACTTAAGTATGTAGTACAAGTCAAGGTCTTTCATATTGGTTAGTGTCCAGTAAGTATTTGTTACAATGTATCAAGTCAAGAAATGCAATTTTAATACCAGATGGCTTAGAATTTTGTTTTACTGAAACAAAGTTAAAACATGGAAATGTTTGTCTATTTTGAGGTGACGTACACCGTTAGTCAAAATGAGAGTGATTTTCCCTTTTGGAGCTTTTTGGAGCTCACCTTCTGGGCTAGAGAAAACATTAATTTACCCTATAATTTTCCAAAAATATTTTTGAGCTCTGTAAAGTGGTGGATTAGACTGTCCTGGAAAGACATTTAGTTACTAAAACTCCTGGCAGATCTTGTTACTTGACAACTTCAACTCTAAGGAGTTACTTAATTGTAGACCTTAATGACAACCTACAGAAAGTCAGCTTATTTTGAAAGCAGTGTGCCAGGTATGAAGCTCTCCTTCATGACCCTTATTTGAAGGAAGTATACTAATTTGTCTAATCTTTGAAAAGCTAGGTACGAATTGGTGGTGATACAAATATAGCCTTATTGTGTTATTAGTTGTGTAATGGTGAAATTGAGAAAATTTGGCTACCATGTATGCCCATAATAGGAACAGGAAATAAATGCAGCTTTCTCTGGCACAAAGTTTTGAAGGTTATTTAAACTTTAAACTTTGTATAATATCCTAACTTTAGCAAATTATAATTGTTTTATTGATAGAATTACAATTGATACTACGTATATAGACTATTCAGGCAAAAATATTTGTATTGAGCTTTTCCAAGTTAATTTATATCCTCTTATCAGTTCTTAAAGTTAAGGACCATGCTTAGAAATGTGATCTTGGTGAGAATTCACTTCTAATATAATTGGTTTTCTGTGTGATGTTACGATTTTTCCTGTGTTTTTCATTTAATTTTATGCGGTTAGAAACATAATTTAGAAGAGGCTTTATTAGGCCACCAGAAGTGTCTACACATGAAAACAAGAACACTTCAAGTCATTGTATCTGGTTAAAAAATTTTTGTTTTACATGGGGCTTCAGAAAAATAGTTTGGTCTATTCATATTTGTAATTCAGCATGAAGTAAAAGTTTGTTTGTTTACTTATTTATTTATTTATTGTACCAGGAATCGAACTCAGGACCTTGTTCTTGCCAGGCAGGTGCTTGTGCCACTGATCTATATCTGGGCCTGAAGTAAAAATCTATGCAACAGAAGTCTTATCTCACTCTTAGCTGTATTAATTAACAAGATTAGTTATCTGAGGTGTTGTGGTATTTTGTAAATACTTTAAGGATTTGAAGAAGTATTGTTCTAGAAGTTTTTCCCTTACATTTTGTGCTTTTCTAAGCTAGCAAATTTGTCTAGTAAACATTTATTGACCTGCTATTGTGTGCTAGGCCCTACAGATTCAAACTTTAATAATACCATGGTCAAAAAAAAAAAAAAAAAAATAATACCATGGTCAAGTAGTCCTGAGAAAGAATTTTTCCTCTTTTAAGTCTCAAGTCTGGCTATTCTCACCTCCTCCAACTGCAGAGTTTACAAAGGTGAAAGTCTTTTTTTCTTTATTATTTATATCAAGATTCTATTTCCCTTTTTGTCTCATTCCCTTTGAATTTTTCAGTTACTCATGCCACACCTTAAGGTATATTCTGATCTAGGAAAGGACAGTATTTACTTTATCCTTGTTATCACTATTTTGTGTATTCCTTTGTTAGAGAATTATATAGTACTATGTTTATTGTATGCAGTACCATGTTGCTGTAAAGACAGAAAACCTTAGGGAATCTGGTAATGATATGTGAATTGTCATCTTAAGACCTGTGAGATGAATACTGGGCAGATAGACAAGGGGATAGCCAACCAGAGGAAGTGCATTCTCAGAGACCAGAGGTATGAGCAAAATCAAGGAGCATTTTGGGTGCCCTCATTTTTTTTTATGGCTACATATATCATTATGTTATTGTATAAATTAAAATTGTCATTAAGGAGGTTCATAGCTGTTTTTTAAAGTTATACACAGGTTAAATTTTTCTGTATAGAATCTCTTAGCTTGCATTGCTGTTGAGAATTTTTTCTCTTTCTGATGTATCAGTATGTTACATTTTAACTCGATCTCTCTTCCTCTTCCATAGTTCAAAGATTTTGTAAAATAATGAATGTTTAAAATAAGTACAATACTGTGGTGAACCCACTTATAAAGTGAAGATTTCCTAAACATTCATTGTGTAAATAAAATTTTTTCATATGGTATCTTACAAGTAAGATAACTTCATAAACAAAATGGCTTCTTGTCTACTAAGAACAATTTACAGGTTTTAAAATTAAGAAATTAACACTTCTTTGTAAAATTTATCTGATCTCATTAATTTGGGTTCTAAATGTTTTTTTGTTTTTGTTTTTCTTCCGGTACCAGGAATGGAACTCAAAACCTTGCTCTTGCCAGGCATGCGCTGTGCCGCTGAGCTAAATCTCCAGCCCCAGATCTCATTAATTTGAATTAAAGCTCTGTAAGGAAAATAGAGATTTTCCTGAGTCAAAATTTCCTGACTCTGTAAGGAAATAGAGAAAGATAGTAAAATGAGATGTAATATAACTTACTTTTTCGTATTTTGTTTATATTGTTAAAATTATATTATAAAATTATATGTAAAGTTGTTACGTTCTGCATTAAAAATAATGCCATAATTGGCTTGCATTTGTTTGGGGTATGAATTTTGGGTATTTTAAACATAGTTTATGATTCTCCAAGTAACCCTGTGAACCTTTGTTACTAGATTAGGATTGTAGGTGATGTGCTTTTGATAACTGAGTGGTTGAGAGGTGTGTTATGTTGCTGGCAACTTTACCAGGGGAGGGTAAATAGTTATGGGAATCATGAAATTCAGAACATGGATTCTGTTGTCTTTAATAATCCACCTGGCCATTCTTTGCTCATCTGCTACTTTATGCTTTGGCTTCTTCTAAACTCCCCAGCCTGAATAGTAAATTTTTGCCCCTTTCCTGATGGCCATTCCATACTTAGGAGGACAGGTTGTTGGAATCACACAGCATTCTCCTCCTGTATGTGCTGCCTAACAGGCGTGATAAAACGCTACGTACTGCCTTATCACTGCAGTACAGACAATGACCTAGCCGATAGAGGGTGGAAATTGTCCTGTAGCTGTAGTGCCTTTGGTCATCTTTGTTAGGATTTCTGTTTTCCAGAGAGTTTGTTGTTTGAAATTTCATCTTATTTTCTGAGCTGCATTCAATAAATATTTCATGATTCCTTCGTGTTGTGTACTGTTCTAGATGCTTGGGATTTGCTTTATATTCTACGAGGACTGAGGAGAGGCAGTAAACAAGAAACACAGTAAGTGAGTTGTGTATCAGAAGGTCAGGAGTGCCAAATCAAAAAGAAAAATATAGAGCAAGATAAAGGGAATTGGAAATGTGGAGATTATGGTGGTTTGCAATTTTAAATAAGTGTAAGCTGCTTTTTAGAAGTTTGTGCTTGTTTTTCTTTCTTTTTATTTTTTCTTTTCTTTTT